CCCAAAAACCCCAAAACCCCAAAACCCCATAAGAAATAAATTTTTGAAATAGAGATGATTTTGTAAATTTAATTGAAATAATATATTTCGATGTGTAAAAGCAATAGATAATCATATTTTCTTTAAATATAAACCATCTTTTAATGCTTTAGATACTTCTTCAGATATCATTAATTGTTTGCTAAGTCACATTGCTGTCAGGGGTGTTTCTTGATCGATCTAACTTACATTTAATTTAATCTTCAAATTTTTATCTTACATTTATCGACAACTTGTGTGGTTTTTAGCTTTAATCATTTAGCTTTCTTTTTTCAGTTAGCTTTTAATTTCCTCCAAATAGACCTGCATCTTGTGGTGCCTTTTGGAATGTAAGGAAAAACATTGAACATTGCATGATGATCAAGATGATATGCAAAGTAATAAACACATTTCCACCAGTATTAATTTGTAGCCAAACGTTATTATCTTCATCACAAGCCACCACCCCTCCTGATTGCTCAAGTTTAAATACTCCCACTAGTCCAATGATAAATTAGGAAATCGCAGTGCCCAGATTGAAATATGTAAAGCACTTGGTTTATTTCCTAGAAATCTTTAATTCCAATATTTTACCTAAAACATGCATCCGCTCTGATATCATTAGTTCCCTCAACGAAGTAGTAATTTGGATTGAAAAATAGTCTAAAATTTACTAATCAGAATAGCATGATAATTTACTTCTTAACATGATGCACTAGAATTAATATGCTCAAGATCAGATTCAAAGTGAAAATAATCAGAAAATGGATGGCTATAAATAGATAAATTTTGGAACATGCTTACGATAAACTTATATCACGGAGCAATAGGCACCAACTTAAGGAATGAACATTATTACAAGTAAAACTATGAAGGATAAAGTATAGACTATGTTGAATGGCAATAGTCTCTTGAGGGCATTCTCATCATTAGAGATGTGGTCTGTTCTCATTAGCATATTAAACATCATCAACTACCCATAGTTGGAGAATATGATGAAAATGAACAAAAGCAGAACATATTTTTGGACCAAATCAAAAATAAATATCCAAATCAGCTATAATCTATGAGTAGTCAAGAATTACTTCAACAATGTAGAGTACTGCCATAACATTGATGACAATCATAAATTTATGCTTGGCTTTAGTATTACTCATCATAGTTTTCACCATTTTGTAAAACAAGAACAAAATCTTAAGACCAATCAATGTAAGTCTATAAACAAATTATCATCCACTGCTTCAAATTTCATCCTTATAGCTTACTTGATATAGTCTCCAACACTATGGTCAGAGGCTGAGTCGTCTGTTGATAAGTTTCTTCTCATTAAATTAAATATCTAATCCCTAACTTAATTATTTTATTATAAGTGGTCTTAGTATTACTGGTAACTGATAGATTCAAATTCACAAAGTCATCCTCTCATTATAATAAGTTAAATCATTAAATATATTATCAAAAATATCCATTATTCCAATTCAATTTCGATGTTTCATGCCGGGGTTTTGGGGTTTTGGGGTTTTGGGG